TTCACACTGGAAACTAGACCAAAAATACTTGGCGGTATTTTCTGTTTTTGCAGTGCATGGCTGATCTTGGGTTGTAACTTTAACTTTATATTTCGGCTCGTCGGATTGCGTAATTTTTAAATATTAGATGATTAATCGTTTGACCACTCACTCAGTACTTCAGTAGACTTTTTACCAAATACCTGTCGACTTTTACTTGAGTAGAAATATGCTAGTCGTGCTGCTCATACTCATAATTTTTATTTCCTCTGGTCTCCTTCCTCGTCGGACTCGGACACGGCGGAGCGTCTTTAATTCAGAGGGTTTGGTTGCGTTCTGGGGTTGCTGGAGCGGGTCAGGGGGGCAATTTGCCAACCTTTGTGTGAGGATGTGTGTGTTTGTGACTGAGTGTGTTTTTGTCAGCTGGGAGGACACTTCCTGCCAACAGGCCAGAGCAGGCTCCGGCAGCTCAGGGAGGAAGGAGGATGGCAGTGAGCCGTGGAGGTGCAGCTCCTTCTCGTCACACGGGACCACACACACACACGCACACACACACACACACACCCTCTCTCCACATCTTCTCCTCTCAACTTAAGTGGAAACAGAAAATTAAAAGCGGCGTCAGGTTTTCATATTCTGAGTGCATCGCAGGCTCGCAGGACCCGAAACCCCGACGCATTTAGTCGGCTTAAGCGTCACTTTAAACCTTAGGGGTGTGTGTGTTCTGGGTGGGACTCTTTAGCTGTCACCTACACACAACCTATGACGCAGGGTCTTAGCTGTAGCTTCTCATGGCTGAGTGCTCAGGACAGACACACACACACGCACACACACGCAGCCGGCGTTGACAGGTGAAGGTAAACGAAGCAGAACTCTGCTAATCCGCCTGTGCCTGGGAGACGCAGAGCGAGAGGTGAAGCACAGAGAGAGCGACATCAAGGGTAGAAGTGTTTTCTTAAAAGCTAAAATCTCACCGAACGACGTTAGAAATGAGCCGCAGTAAAGCAAAGTCTGCTGCTGCAAAGCTGCACATGCAGGAAAACAATTTGTTTTTAGAAAAACATTCTGGGGTTTCATGAAAACTGCAGCAAAATATGTTTAATCAGAGGATCCAAAAGCTGTACTCAAGTCAGAGTAGTACTACTTCAACATACTTTTTTTTACTCAGGTAAAAAATACAATTTTACTCAAGTAAGAGAAGTAATAGCTAATAAAATTACTCAAGATAAAAGTACAGCGTGGTAAAAATACTCCTAAAAGTACCTTTTTTGTCAAAAAGTACCTCAATCATTTTCGGATTATTCATATTTTCTGGACTAATTTGTGCATTAAACGCTCTTCACTAAAGGGGTTAATATGAAAAAAGGAACTTGGTTAAGACTGAAGTTGTAGATTTTTCTGATTTCCACACAGACTTCTTGAGTGATAAGATATTAAAGATATTTCCTTTTCCACAAAGCACTGCACCTTTTAACCAGCTTTTGTTGACGTAACTGTGTATTGTAGAGGTTTTATAAAGTAATCCTTTGCCCATGCCATAGTATCCGCTGCTGGTGAAAGATGGTTATTGATGCTGCATTGTCTGAGGAATCAGCTTAAGCTCGCATCCTCTCCCTTTAAGAGCAACATTTCCTCCTGACGGCTGCAGGAATCGTCAACTGAGATGGAGTGAAATACTTCACACTACAGTAAATTATGTTTCACTCTCAACACACTTTCTGACCTAAAGGATCTTTCACAAACTGACAGATTGCTTTTATTCTTCCCAGCATTGAAAATGATGTGCTGACTGGAGAATAAACAAAGAATGAAATAATTACATCATCAGGTGCTACTTATATGAACAGGTATGCAGCAGACATTTCATTGGCTATAACTGCTTAACAGCAAATAGCAGGTTTGAAATGGCGGCAAACTTTCAGTGAAGATCCACTTTATGCCACAAATGCCTGAGTGTCAGAATAATGAAGAAGATGAGCTACAGCAGCAGAGGACCAAACTAGGTCATCAGAAAATAATTTACACAGAATAGACGTAATAAAGTTTTTATTTCAGCTGCAGAACTCAGATGTACGGGTCATAAATGACATATTTATCGATATTTTGGGCTGGTGATGCAGAGAGGGAGTGAAACCAGAACATACAGTTTGTTCACATGCAATCGTATCGGTTCAATTTCGGACCAAACATCACAACGTTTGTTACATTTGTGTAAAAAACTGCACATAATTTAACGAGTTGATAGTTGGGATCACAACTTCCTGGAAGAAGTGACGACACCAGGGGTGTTGAAAGTGCGGCCCGGGGCCCATTTCTGGCCCTCGGACTGAATGTGTGCGGCCGCCAGCTGCAACTCATAAATAATAGAAAATTGGCTGATAGATGGAGATAATTTGTAACAAGAGTAAAATTATTATGGATATAACGGAAAATGTGAAGTTCAGCACAAAGTGTTAAGAGTTTTTACAAGCAAGCTTTAGCAAAAGATAAAATCAAGTTCATCCAGAAAGTGTTACTGAAAAGGCGACTTTGAAATCAACTTTCATCTAATTTATTAGACTTGACCAAATATAGCAAATGTCTTGAATGATACCGACCCAAATCATGTTATTACTGAAAATAAATTTATTCAGTCGAGCCCAAAAGAAACTGAAAACTAGATGCTTTTCTTTAAATACAGCAAACCTGGAAAATCTGCTAAACTTTGACATTTCCAGCTTTTCGTAAATTCCAAAAGTCGAAAGTCTAAGATTAATCTCAAAATTCCTGAAATTTTTTCAGCCAATTTTCAAACAGAAATTTCCCCATTTTTTTCCAGAGCATTTATGGGTTTGTTAAAGTTTACTACTTTTTTCATTTACAAACCTTTAATCTACAATGGCCCTAATAGGCCACCGTGAAAATCCCTTTCAAACTTTGGATCTACAATAAGATTTTGAAAAAATAAAGACAGACGTAAAAGTTGGACTACTTTATGTCTTTCTTTTATTCGACCTGTGATTTCTTTGGACTCCTTCAACTTTTGAAAGGTTTGAGCACTTCTGGGGGTCCAAACTTTCATTCATATTTTCTTTATCAGCATATTTATGAACATTTCTGAGATCTTACTTAAAATAAACACCGAGGAACATAAATCTATCTCAGTGCTAAACAATCAGCTGAAATCAATGTGTTGCTCCAGTAAAAAGGTACAAAAATAAAAACGCTAAAGAAAACCAGAAGCAGCTGTTAAGACTACACACTCCATTTGGGGATGAACATAATAAACACAGAAGTAAATAAATCTGCAGCGATCATAAACATAACTTTCCAGAGAGGATTACTGTCATGCAGGTCTGAGAAAACAGCAGAAATCTGCATGTCAAAGCCGGCGTGTTGGTATAAATTTAGCTGCATATGGAGCCTGACAGGCAGGCAGGGGAGATGTTATCATGCCAGTTGTTTCTTCAGGTGCTTTAAAGCAAGTTGGACCATGCAGCTCACCTGCCCTGTCTGCCCCTCACACACATACACACACACCCCCACACACACACACACACACACACACACACACACACACCCACACACACATACACACACACCCCCCCCCACACACACACACACACACAGATACCTCACATCTCTCCCTCCACGTTCGCAATTCTTGAGGAGTATCTTTCAGCTTCACCGTGCGTCTCTCCTTCCTTTCAAATACCTGTATACATTTTTACATTTTGTCCTCCATCATCCTCCCCCTCTGCCCGCTCTCTTCCATCTTCCTCCTTTTCTTCCTTCAATCACACCGCCCTCACGCCTCCCAAGCCGTTGTTTTAAGTGAGTGTCATCAAGCTCACAGATGTTTAGCACCATTTTACCATCACTCTGTCACACACACACACACACACACACACACACACACACACACACACACACACACACACACACACACACACACACACACACACACGCACACAAAGAGCAGGGCTGCTGGAGTAATCATGTCATGTAAATTACCCAGCATACCAAGAGGCCCCTTCACCTGCAATCAGGCTCTCAGTGCTGCAGAGCAACCCGCATTCAGCAACGCAAAAAAATTAAAAATGAAACATTTTCCCCGAAATTAAAGTGCAAGAAGTGGCGAATTTCCTCATCTTCCAGGACTGTAATTTGAGAAAAAGCATACATTTTGTTTGATCTCTGCAGTATTACTTTAAAGAAATGTGAGCGACAACCTGAGTTTCCTTTGACCATAAAGTTGCACACAGTTGGTATTACGTAAATAAATTTGCTTAATGGAAACACAAAACTCATGTTTTTATGCTTTTCAACTGTATCACAATCAATGTATTTTGAAAAACTGCAATGAAAACCCGTTCACATCACATGATCAACAACAGGATGTTACTACTGACGGAAACGATGAAGAAGACGACAGGACGTGGTTGTAGGATGAACGCCCTGCACATTTATTTTTACTTATCCCATGAAGAAACTTATTCACATGCAATTTTAGTTGGATTTCTCATTTATTGGAAATTGCAAATTTGCTGAATATTGACAAAGTTTTGCACATATTTGTGATGGAGTAATGCAGTAGTCAGGGAAAGTAGCGTTTTTAATGCTTTAAGATCCTCCAGGTGTCCCAATAACAAAATCAATAAAGATACAAAGTTTTACCTCAAAGTTAAAACAATTTATTAAAATTATTTTTGTAGGTTGTGATAGATTAGATGTTTGGTTTCTAATTGGACCCAGAGGCACACAACTAATTTCAGAAACTAAAAATCTCAAAAATAAAGAGTAATAATGCTGTCAAAAAGGTAATTTTAAACATTAGTTTAAATGGGTTCTGTCTACTGACTTGAGAAATATTCAAATTGCAAATAGCTGCTTATCTGCTCTGATTTTAATGTTTAATCACTGACATGTTTAAAATTAAAGGTTTGTTTTTATGGGGAATAAATACTATACACTTTTAATTTTAGCTTTTACTTATCTGTCCCTTGTTGGTCTTTTGGTTTCATAAATTAATCCATCTTTACCTGCCGATCAGTGGAGAGTCGTGGGCGGGGCTAACGCTCATCTCCAGACGTCATTGGTCGAGAAATCGGGATTGGACCAATCACTTCATCAGGAGGAATTTCCTACAGTTGCATAAAAGGAACAAAAATTTTATTAATTTACAATAAAAATACAAAAACACAGTGGAAATGGAACATTAATTGCATAAAATCTGGTATAAAACCAAAGACTAAGCTAAAGCTTTGCTGAATTAAGAAAAATTAAACTTATTTTGATAGCAATGATTTTTTTAAAAAATGTAATTTTAGAATGAATCTACCGAGATTGATTTGTTTTTCTATGACTTTCTGTTCAATCTATCATGAAACAATAAACATATAAGTATTACCACATTTAGAATCCAACAACACTAGTATTTTGACCCAAAGGGATCAATCTTTTTGTTATTTTGTATTGTAATAAAGAGAAAAACTGAAGTGTGTTAGAATTAAATATGTGACTGCCAGGCTTTTCTCTGGGATTACATTTGTGTTGTCTCCCTCTGCAGTTTGCAGAAATACTTGTCCTTACATGTACAGACACTCATCAGCCGAGTCTGAAACACGTTTGAATTTTTGTCTCACAGAGAAACAAATCTTTTCTGCAGCTAAATTTGGCAAAGAATAGAAGGACAGATATGAAGAGTAATAATTCCCAAACTCATTCACAGCTCAATAGTACCCATTACAAAAAAAATAGATTATTTTCTCTGTCATTGTTGGCCTCACAGATTTTGAAAAGCTTCAGAAAATGACAAAAACAGATCAATTTACAACAAAATGACTTTCGGTTTGTCTTGATAATCATATTTTCTGGATCCCTTGTTGTTTTCTTTGATAATAACTTAGAAAGGAGGATGTGGATTTTCTTTTGCACGTTGGGCTGATTAAATCTTTGTTCAGTGTGTTTGGTGGAAGTAGGCCTTCTGTCAAACTTTATAGAAAATGAGCTGCAACTGGTTTAAAGGTGACCTATTATGCATCTTGGAGAGGTTTGAATAGGTCTATGGTCTACACAAAACATGCTCGTTACATTTTTGCAAAATAATCATTCTGAGAAAAAGATTTTACTCTGCTCAGTCTGCCTATTTTGAGCTTGTTAGAGCCTCTGTCACTTTAAATCCAGATAGGCTGCTGCTGGCCACACCCCTTAACGCAAGCAGATGCACAATTATATAACTGTACATATTTGAAAAGCAGAAGTGAAGCCTCCTGCACAAACAAGCAAGAATGCAGCAAGTGATTTCAAAGGGTGTTTTCATCTGTTAGTCCGATAAGCTCGGTTCAACTGCTGCTGCTGCAGTTTGTTTCCATTGAATTAGCCAAACCAAACTGGCTACAAAACCTGTTCCCCTCCTCGCCTGTGGGGGCACTGCACCAAGAGCCACTTAAGGAAACAACACAAAACCTGACACTGACCGCAACATCCCTCTCCACAAAATGTAAATATAACTAAAGTAGCATCAGATTTTAGTGGCTGTAGGATTTCTCTTTTGGACTAGCATTAGCTTAGCGTATTTGTGTTGGTTGTGTTTACCCAGAATTCCCCCATTGTGGTCCACTTCCTGCTTTTGGAGCGGTCGTTGGTTCACTTGGCGTTCACATATGCATTGAATTAACTTCAAAGGAACTGAGCCCAAGGTTTTCTTTGTTGGTCCACATCAATTTGACGAGACGATCACACCTCCCCAAACAAACCAGACTTTGTAGACAAACAGACTGGAGTTTGATTAAAGCAAAGTAATAAACATGGCTGGTGTGAATGCACACTGACTGGTACGTCAGCAACTTAACACTCGTCTTTTCCAGCAGCCATTGTACAGCACATACAGTAGTCAAACCATCTGACCAAACCTGCTGGACTTCGCTGGAGTTGCTATGTAACTATGGCAGTGCCTGCTGTTTTGTTATGCTCATTTTCTAGACACCAAAAAGCATTAACTTGCTGCCTAAAAACATCTGCATGATTTTTTTGTGTGTTTGTAGAAGTCAAGGAAACCCAAATGGAAGCACAAAAACAGGCAAGAATTTAATTATGCATGAGGAGGAACGGCATACGATCAATAGTGTATGTCTTTCTCTTTCAATTATTGGTTTCCACAATTTTTTATGTCTATTCTGCCTATCACTTATGAATATGGTGGATATGCAGGTTATTTTAATCAAAGCTTTACTTTCTATGTGAATTTTTTACACATGATCATCTTTATTTTGAAGTTAGCAGCAGGTTTTACTTCAGTGAACATTATCAGAGCTGCACCTCAGCTGAAGTCCTCATATGGTTTCTAACTTTTTGCTTCTCTGTAAGAAGCTCTAATTTTCTGGCGACAATTGCAAGAGAAGGTGTCAGTTTTCAAGTTGGGGATATCTTTCATTTTTGAAGGAAACACTAAGGTCTGTGTCTCACACTGCTGCCAAATCCAGTCAGGCTTACTGCACTTTACCTGCCACTGGCCATAATGCAACCACAGCTTAAATTGTGACAGGCTTGGCAAGCCACAAATGGGGATTAGCTGTTTGTCATATGTGGTACATAGAATTGTAGCTGCATGTCTTAGTTAATATAAAATGCAACTCAGCTTTTAATGGTGAAGACATGGATTAAATTAGGAGAAATCTTCAAAGTTATACTTTTTCCTGTATATGTGGGTGTTTAAACATTTGACACCGTGTAATTAGGAGCATTTTTGTATTGCATGTTTCCTAAACATAAGGTTTCTCTCTTGAACTTGAACAAATGTTTAGTTAGTAGATAAAATACTCGTCTTAATCTGCTTCCTTTGTTTTTTGGGTAGAAATCTGGTTTGACATTTTTGGAAATCACAAAACTGTGATTCTCTTCTCAGTTTTCAGATATTTTAACAATAATTTTTATTTCTCCAGTTTTTGTTTTAGGTATATTAAAGGTCAGACCTACTGTACTGCGAAACGAGAACATCAGACACTGTCACATGTAAAATAACACATAACGGTTAGATTTGCCATTTCAATGCAAATTATTTTCCAAAAAGAAAAAGTTATTCCTCCCAAAACTCCTCGGCAACCTGCTGTTGTAAAACAATATTCTGCATTTTTCAATGGATCTGTTATGTTGCTTTTATCATCATTAATTATGGTGGACAAAATGACATTTAGCATCCCTTGCAACTCTCTAACTTCATCCCGGCAGTCTCGTTATTTTCACACCCTTCGTCCCGAATGCAATACACAAAATGGACAAAATCTAAAATGCTCCACATGTTGCCCTCTCTTTGCACATTGTTTTAGTTTCCATTTCTGGAAACAGGAAATGAAATTCCAACTTAAAAAATTTGAGTTCAACATTCATAATTACACTAACAAATGTAGCTTTGAACTATTTCCCTGCATTCTGACCATTTGATTCACATTTAAGGGACCCTGTGCTGCAAAATTCACTTTTTGTGGGTTTTTTAAATTCTATTTGTGTCTCAACTCTGTTTTTTCACACCAAGTTAAACTTTTTTGGTGTCTGAAAAATGAGCCATTCTAAAAATCTCATGATCATTAATTAGGTCACATTCGACATTCACTGCTGTGTTGCCAAGCAGCTTCGGTTGTTACCTAGAAACCTAACACATTTGGTCAGCTGGTTTTACTGCTGTATGTGCCGTGAAATGGCTGCTGGAACAGACAAGTGTTTAATTGTTGTTTTATCATCTAGAAATCACTGACTGCATTATTGGTGGTTGTGCAGAAGGCCCCTCTTCTGCTTATCAAAGATGCACGACTGTATAATTGCACATCTGCTTGAAGACATTTTCACAAATAAAAGAATATGAATTGACTGGGAAATGATCCGTTTTAAAAGTTAAGAACATACTTGTAAAGCATAATTAATACCATCCAAACGGCTGTACTGCTTGGCGAGAAATGAATTTTCTGGGATGTAAATTTGATCATATGTATCCACTGACCCCCATCTCTACAAATGTCCATGAACAGCTTTCACATTTCCTTGCTGTTTGTTTCAGACAATCAAGAGGCATAAAGAAAAGGTCAGGTCATGAACAGAGGAAGAAAAAACAACAATGTCGCTTGTTTGTCACTGTAGATCATTTATCCATCAAGGACACAAAATCTCTACAGATATTCTGGGGAGAAATGGCTTTATTCACTCTCTTCAGGCCTTCTACTCCTTTTCTGAGAAGACGGTGTGTAAACCATTTTGGTTTGAAATGTATGCAGCAATTAATTTCTTGCCTTCATATCCAGGGCTGCTGTCAGCAACAAGCTTACCAGGACGAGGTCTTAAGTACATGAAATCCGCCTGATTCATCCAACTCATCAGACCACCTACAGTTGTTGTGCTGACGCTGTATTTATCAAACCTATGCCATGGTCACACAAAAACAAATTAATCTGCGTGTCTGTGAAATCTTTGATCTTTGGCGGCTCGGTGATGTAGTCACCAACCGCTGACACGCTATCCAGTCAGAAACATGCTTCTGCTAGTCGGCCTGAAAGTTTGTTGATCTCTTACGCCGTTTGCTCCCCAAGGCGTTGGTTTAGTCCTGCTGCAGCGCAGGAGGCCAAAAGTTACAGGAGGGGAAAAAACTGGAAATTGTGTTTTTACTGCTTCCCATCTTTCATAAATTTAGACTACTGCTTCTTTGTGGAAAATGTCACCCTTTTGCAAAATCTAAATAACTGAATAAAAGTCAGTTTTGTGATTTCATTACAAGGTTGAATCAACATTTATTCTTCTTGTTTTGAAGTATTTTATCAATCGACCCCTATCTCAGAATCATTCTCATTGTCAGTTGTATTATTCTGAAGATGCGCTAACTGCAAGCTGGTTTTTGTTTAGTGCTTTAGCATTGGAAACATTTAGTGTTCTTAGCTTGACCTAAATTAACTATCAGATAAATTCTGAAGCACTAATTTAATTGGCTGTTTTATAAACTTTCAGTTGATTAAAGTTTGACATCCATGTTAAAGTTCCAGTTACAGCTCATATAAATGTCAGAGTTTAATTAGAGTTTTTTAAAGCAGATATAATGTGAACTGAAGTTTTCTTTGCTTTAGTGCTTTAGCGTTCGCCTAAATTTATTTACATTATTTAC